GCTCCCGCGGCCTCTAAGCCCGCGCGGAGCGGGCGGGCGCGACAACGTCGCCGGTGCGCGAACGAGGAACGGGGCGGAAAGCTCTCCCCAGAACGATACAAGACATTTTCCGTGGCCCTCTCTCCTCAGCCTTTTAATAGCCCCTTGTCAAGTGCGTGTGTGACAGGGCACAACCCCGGCAGCCGCCCGGCGCTCCCCGGTGTGCGGCGGGAGCGGGGAGCCGCCAGCCTCGGCTCCCACCCCGCTCCCCGGCTGCCTCATTAACGGCTCCCACCCCGCTCCCCGGCTGCCTCATTAACATTCCCTTCCCCACTTGCCCATTGGCACAGTCTAATTTAAATGCAGAGAGAAGAAAAGTCTGTCATTTAAAGTGAGCTCAGGATGCAGACAGACAAGGAAACAAACCTCGGTTTTTTTCCCCTCCTCAGATTGCATTACTTTCTGTTGTATTCTCTTTTAAAGTACGTTGCCCTCCTTTCGTATATGCAGTCTGCTAGTAACTGGACTGCTGCTAGGGTTCATTCCCATTGATTTCAGGTTTTCCAGAGCAAGTAGAACAGGACAGGCTTGATAATTAAAGATAAGGGTTTATATTTAGTGTATCCTCATTTTGCATTGTTAACTCGGAAATAATTAAATAATGCTGGCAGTAGTGTTTCAGCTTTTTATTTCTTTTTAAACCATTCCCCATCTATCTCCTCTTCTTTCACTGTCTTAACTGCCCAAAGTGCCAGTCTCAGTTATCCTCTCTTTATGTCACTGGCCTACCTACTTATTACATTTTGACTGAAGTTGTTTTGATGAGATTTGCTTCTGAATCAACAACAGTTCCAAAAGGAACATGTGAAATTGGATGCACAGACACTGGGGGGGAGATAGGAAAAGAAGAAATAAAAATTTCTTCAGTTACCTATAGAATCAACTACTAAAAATTGGAGGATTCTTTTTCCTGCTCCTCTCTGTGCTGTTTTACATTTGTTTTCTGCTTCCCAATTATTGAAGCTTGCAACTGGAGGTGTCCTTGTTTTCCTTCTCCTTTAGTGGCTTAATGACTCTACAACAGAGCATGAGAAACAAAAGAAGGAAGAAAAGCTCTTGGGCTGTCAAGACAATTTGTTACTTCCAACTTTGAGGTATTTCATAACTAGCAGTAAGACTGGGAAGAGAAAGGGAATGAACTGAATGGCTTTGTTTCAAAATAACCAGTAAAACGACAGCCCAAACTGTGGGAAGTGACACAGATAAAGACACAAGTGCAGAAACTGAAATCTGAAGAACACTCATTCAGCAGCTAACTAACCCTGGTTGTGTCTAAAGTACAAGGCCCTCCTCTTTCCCTGTCCAGATGTGAAATGTGCTCTGTTCGTTGTCAGTTGAGCATCAATGGTCAATCTAAAGTCTTCTTTGGATCTTTCTGTAAGTTCCGTGTATTAGGAATTAACAACTGATATTAAATGCAGAATCAACCCTCACAGTAAAGAAAACTAGTTTAAATTACTTGTCCTAAGTAAGGGTGGCTTCACAAATATTAAAATGCAGGAAAAAAAAAAACACTAAAAGTGAAGAATCTTCATGATTTACTCTTATTGGAAATACACTATTTAATCAAAGAAGAATATTTTTTCCTTGGTTATTTATTGCATTCCTTTCCAAAAACACACTTCCAGTAATTGTAATACTGAAACTATAATCTAATTTTCATATGTGAGTTGCATCAAAAAGTAGAAAAACACTGTCATTAAGGAAAGCAGTTACAGTGGCTCCATGTTGCTGTGATAGCATATTGTCATTCTTCAAAGGCCACATGGGGTAGGTATGTATTTATAATGAGCTTATGTTCACAGCCTTCCCCAAGAAAAATGTACTGGGTTTTAGGCTCTAATCACAATTATTACCTGTGATGTTCTTTGAGATTTGCCATAGCTTCATGCACTGAAGTCATGCTTCAGATTTGAAACTTGAAAATAACTTCTCATTCCCATTTTAGACAAGTTGGACAGCCCTATGGGGCATCCCAAATCACAGGAAAACTGAGTACAGAGACACACAGAGACTACTGTGGCAGTGTGAGAAATCAGAGGCAATGTAATTACTAACAGAGAGAAGGTTTTTATGCTAGTCCTACATGCTTATAACTTGTACTGCTGAAGAACTGGAAAGTATTTGGGGAGAAAAGTGTGGTAGTGGTGAGGTTTTATTGTTTTTTGGGGTTACATGGAAGCACGACTCACAAATACTAGATGTGTTAGCTCTCATCGGTTAGAAACAGTGTGCTTTGGTCCTCTCAGGTGCACAGTCAACAGGGAACCTTCCCTTCTGCATTAATATTCGTGGTGTGATATTGAATGCTGTCATTCACTACTGAATTTCAATTAGCTCTAAGTGATATGCGGCATCCAACACATCACTAGGGTTTGTGAGACGCTTCTGAGTCCTGATGCAAGTGCCCTGGAAGGTAGAGAATCATGCCCTTGGTTTGAATAGGACTTGAAATAGTCCACTGGAGGCAGCATATTTGCTGAAATATAGAAATAGAATTCAATTCTTATTTTGATATTTAAAAAATCTTAAAAACAAACAAAGGCTTTTACAATCCTATTATTCCTCCTTGCCAAGGATCTCAAAACTGTGCACAGGCTGATAAATGATGTTACCAATTCTTTTGTGATCTTTGAAAGACTTCAGATGTGAGCACAAATTGAATAGCAGGGTAGGTATGTGACATTTCATAAGCACTTCTTACAGTTTAGAGGTAATAGAAACACAAGAGAGGTTAAGCCCAGACTAGTCATTATCCAGACTGCAGAACACCAGATTGAATGCTTCCTTTGAAACAGTGCTTAAAGGAATCCTTTATATGAAAAAGTTATACCATTTTTCAGGCAAAATAAATTACTCAAAACCAATACCTTCAATTTGTAGCCACTAGGGAGGTGACAGTAATCATTTTCTGTCATGGACATAATCAAGCAATGCAAAACAGAACTTAACACACAATGCTGATCTGGGGTACAGTTACAGACAAAAATTTTGGCAGATTGAGGTAATCATCATTTACTTTGTACTGCCTGAGAATAATCCCCACCCTTATATCTAGGCCAGCAGCACTCTGAGCTGTAAGGATATAAACAATAGTCACTGGAGTTCAATGAAGTGATGTATATGTGTGAAAATTAAGAATCACTGGATACTCTGAGTTGTAATGGACCCACAAGGATCATTGAGTCCAACTCTTTAGTGAATGGCCCACACAGGGATCAAACCCCTGTTTGACTTTGGTGTTATTAGCATCATGCTCTAAACAACTGAGCTAATTTCAGCATCAAAATCGAATTGATAGATCAGAAATTTTTGTATGTGATATAGCAGTGGATTTTTTTAGTAAAAATTATGCTTTTTATATTTCTTATCACTAATAACACATAAAACATATCTTGATATGATATTATTTTTAATAGACTGTTTTATTTATCCTTTTAAAATTTCTATTTATGTTAATTAGTTAAACATCCGTGCATAAATGCAAGTGTTTGAGATATGTATCCAAGATATAATTTCTGTGCAATTTTAAACATGTATATTATTTTATTTTGTTTCTGTAAATAATGACAAAACAAAACATTGAAGGGGGGAATTAGTTTTGACCAAGTCAGTCCCTAGACTGATTCATCATGCAGGTACATGAATGTTAATCTGAGCAAAAAGAAGGGAAAAGCTGGCTCTTTTCAGGAGCAGCTCCAAATTATGTCCCAAAGAATGATGATGGAAATCAGATTTCTGTAAGAAAAGACTCAGGTCTCCAAAACTCTTCCAGTCACTGACTTGCAAGACTGCACCCCAAATTCCTCAGGTGAAATTATTTTGAAATGTGCCATTCAACAGTAGATGCTAGTATAATAAACAAGAATGCAAGAAAAATCTTACAGCTTTATGCAGTAATCTCTGTTGTAAGTGCCTGAGCAACTTTTAATCTTCGGAGTTTTCCATCTGA